AGATTCATTAAAAGCTTTTTGCTTTCCTAACATCAGAAGACAATGTGAACTCACTTTGTCATTCTCATCACTTTAAAACCTCTTGTTTTGTTCTTCTTCTTACCTGCAGGGGTGGACGTTTTGTTGTGTTTGATCATGCTGCTTTCTCAGATGTGCGTGGGGAGAAGTGCGAGATGAAACTGCATGGAACAAACAAAAATGTTTTCCGCCTCTTTCTACTTCAGAATTACCAGGGAAAGAGAGTGGAGTTTTTGTTTCGTACAGAAACACAGTAAGAGCTCAAGGTTACCTCAGTGTATCCCGTTACCATAGCCAGACACCTCCTAGGAGCCTGATGGTTGTCCCTCAGGTACCCCAATGCTGAAATATCAAATGCAGCTGCTGACCAGAGGACTTCAAAAAACAACCTCTTCCCATAAGAAGACGCTAATGAACCACCTTGCTCCTCTCTTATCGTAGCTGCTCATGTAGTACTACCATCTTATGTCATAACATCAGCCTCCAAAAATAGTTTGGCCTTTTCCCATCTCCCTTCTCCAATTCCACTTTCTTGGCTTCCCCTAAGTACCCCCTTCCTGACCCCTCCTGTAAGCACATACACCCATTCCAGTCATTAGACTGATATCCATCACACTGAATCCTTACACCTCTCTGGTGATGTTTTCCAGCAGTGAGAAGCTGAGGTGGATCTCTGCTTTGGCTCCTCCGCGAGGAGAACTTGACCTCCTGGAATGCCCTGGTAAGACATCTCTGCTGCTCCAGCAATGGGGGTGGGCTGGAGTCACTGCAAGGTGGAACATCCCAGAATGATTCCAAAGCAGAATACTTGTCTTTTTATAAATAAAGAAGATACTCATGGGCTTTCTCAGTGTCAGGTTCTGCCGGTTATTTTACCTGGTTTTATTCTTCCTACTAGGTAGAAGACCTGTAACCTCCCTTCAAGTTCTCTGCTTTTTAGTGTTTGGGCAGTCCCTTATACCCTACCTGCTCTGAGGTTGATGCACACATGTTTACTGATGTTTTTTAGTATACAGTTATGATCTTTCTTCCCCTTTAGATGCACCACAGGTTCAATGCATAAAGACTTACAAGGCTCGGGAAAATGATGAGCTGGCTTTGGAGAAAGCAGATATCATTATGGTTATGCAGTACAGCAATGATGGTGAGCAGAATAAACGATGGATATCTTAAATTATGGGTTGGAAGTTACTGTAGTAGTGTACTTTAACAACACAATCAGGTTTCAGAAGAAGACTCTTCTTCCTGACTGTTAGGTTCAGAAGAAGTGAGTCTTCGTTTTCATTAAGCCACTTTATTTGGAAGGTGAAAGGGGTCTCTTTCTTTGATGTTAGGGCCTTGTTGGAGGGGCTTTTTGGGAAGAATGAAAAAAATGTTTAACTCTTGCCTCATGTTCTGCTTTTCCCCTCACTGTAGGATGGATAGAAGGAGTAAAGCTCTCAGACCGGGAGAGAGGCTGGTTCCCCTCGGAACATGTGGAACTCATCTCCAGCAAACATGCACGACAGAAGAACCTGAAGGAGGAACAACGTGTGAAGAATGCCAAGCAGCAGGTCTTCTGCAAGAAATAAGACTCTTTGGACATGTACAGTCTCCCTGCCATGGGGAAACCATCTTTTTCTATTGTGCCTCAGAAGAAACGCCTCTGCGAAGAGCATAATACGGCACTTTGACAGAATCAGGTGCTTTTTGCCAAAGAAAGTGGGAATTCCATCAGGAGAAATCATTCACTTCCTCTGTGTCACCAGGACTACGGCAGCAGTAGGAGGAAAAAAAGTTGCGTGTATTGCTTGCTTTGTGGTAGCAGGGAGGGACTTCAATTGGACAGAGGTCTGGGATCTGGACCTCTGAAAATATGTTCCTGGTTTTGCCACTGACAAGTTGCAGGATCTTGGGCAAGTCACTTCAGAATTCTGCGTCATTCTTCCCATCTGTGAAATGGGCGTAAACTTACCTACCTCACTGGATGTTGTGAGGCTAAATTTGCTAGTAGTAGCATACTAAGAGCTTTGAGTTCCTGAGAAGCAAGGTGCTAAGTGCAAAGCACAACAGAGTTGAGAGTTTTTCATTTGAAAATCCTCCTGATATCTTGATGGTATTGATCTCCATAGTGTAATGGCCACTTAGAACAATTTATCCATTTGATCGTGCAAGTCTACTGGGTTTTAGATAGGCAAACATTTCATCTTACCTAAAATTAATTCTGTCTCAGCATACTGGTAAAGAGTCCTTGACAGCACTAGGAAATCCACTGGACTTAAGCAGTTATTGGGGGCCATTGTGATGACTTCCCCCACCTTAATATGTATCAAGCTGAAGACTCTGTTTCACAAAGGTCACCTCTCTTCTGAACAAGTGTCCCAATAAGCCATCTGAAGTGATTCTGTTTTACTCTGCGTCCCACTCAAAGTGTAACAGTGACTTTTGACGAAGATTTTTCTATGTGTTGGTACATGCCCTGTACAAAATAACCATGACTAGGTATATGCAATGAAGTGGCACTTTCCTGCTGCTCTTAATCTGATAGCTGACATGGTATTGCATGCACCATTTTGCACACTTTTAGAAAACACTGAGATATTTAGCCACTGTAGATAAAGTCAAAATATGTACCGGGGACTTAGTTCTTTTTTAGAACTCTCTGGTTTTAAATCCAGTTTACATGCAGTCCTGCTTTTGTGCAGAACCTGTCTATTTGAGGATATGCCTTAAACTGTAAAATACTGTTTCTTTGTTGAAGTGTTTGCATTCAGTCAATGCAAGATCAAGTATAAGAATCAATACACCAAAGAAAGCAATGTATAGCCTTCTTGCATCTAATATATTTGAAGAATTGGTTGTCTTCACATCTCCAGCTTTCTTCCTCTGTAACATTCTGCCTTTAATTTCCATTTATGGTGTATCTAGTATAGCTTATTACAGTCTATTTATATCAATTATTTTAGCTGGATTAAAAAAACAGTTGCTTTCAGTCCTAATAAACTCATGCACTTCTCCAGTTAAAATAAACTTGTTACTTAGGTTTTCATCTCAAATGTAAGTAATTCAATATTTACTGAATATATGTTCAGTATGTTCATTATTTTTTCCATATAAATTTCCTCTCTAAGTGAATATTAAGTACAAATACCTATACTTAGTAGAGGCAGTGAAGAAAGTTTGCTTTAACCATCCATACCTTAAGCTTCTTTAGGTCATTAACACCAGCGCTGAAGTGGCTGCTGCTACAGGTTCCATAGTGGTGTTAGTTATCATTAATATATCAAGGATGACTTACAGAAGGATGACCTACAGAAGATGGAAGTTCAGTCCACTATACCAGTAAGACAGGATGCAATAATTAGATTGTCTTTTAAATCTATGATCCAGGCTACAATCTGCCTACACTTTTTTTCCCCATACACCAACTGAAGCTGGTTCCTACCTAAGAACAAAAGCAAAGGCCTACCTCAAATGCAGACAAGTGATAACTGAACTGGTAGTGTGCCCTTGCGATCAGGAGGGCCAAGAGTATCCTGGGGTGCACTGGGAGGAGTGTGGCCAGCAGGTCGAGGTGATCCTCTCCCTCTATTCAACCCTAATGAGGCCACATCTGGAGTATTGTGTCCAGCTCTGGGCTCCTCAGTACAAGCAGCTACTGGAGAGGGCCCCAAGGATGATCAGGGGTCTGGAGCATCTCTCTAATGAGGTGGAATTGTGGCAGTTGGGCTTGTTTAATCTAGAGAAGACTGAGAGGGTATCTCATTCATGCATATCAGTATCTCAAAGGTGAGTTCCAGGAGAATGATGCCAGACTCTTTTTGGTGGTGCCCAGTGCTAGTCTGAGGCATCCCATATCCATATCAGCTTCATCTTTTCTATGTGTATCATGAGGAGGCAGGCCATACGTACTGCTATTTTCAATCAGAAGTCATCTTGTTAAAATACTTGAAAATCAGGAATTCTTTACTCTTTCAACTGCTCTCAAAAGCTAGCTGGCATATTGTTGATTAGAGATTCCCAAGGTGGTTTCTGTGTTAAGTTCCGTATGTTTCTTGTTAATTGTCTCATCTGTTGAGACAGATGAAAATCTTCAAGGCCACTGTTATGATTGACAGCACTTCTATACTGTATAACTAGTCAGCTCAAAGGTTAACTTCTTCCTGTCACAGTTGCAGCCTTTATTTCCCGTTGTCAGGTTTTTGTATGCTTAGGAACATTTAAAGAAGCTTATGCTTCTAACTGCTTGTGCCCTGTTTACTTTAGCTTCTTACATTTCAGACAGGCCTCAATTTTTCACTAGTTTTCGTAAAAGCACCATTCCACCACCAAAATCCATAAACAAATCTCCTGAATTGCTTCATACTTTTTGGAACTGATTAACGTCTCCTTCATTTGCACAGACTTAATAGTACAGTATCACTTACAACTGCACATTCAGGAGGCAAGAATCAAGTTGACAGAATACCCACTGCATCCAATTAAGGTTTTAATTACGAGTCAGGATCTCTCTGCATTATCTAATGTGGATAACCGGACTTCCCAGAAAATCACTATTAAAGCAGAAATACAAGCATAGGGTTTGTCAGCCAAATCCCCATACATTTTTAGAAAAATCCCCAATGAAGGTCCACAGAATAGGACCACTGTCTGAGAGACCCCAGTGTATCTTGATCAGCTGGTATCAAGATACCAGTGTATCTTGAACAGCTGGCTGTAAATTGAAGCATGAAGAAACCGTCAGCTTCCACAGGAACCTGTGGAGACTGGTACATAGTGTATCTGAACAGAAGGAATTCAGTATTTCAATAGGAAAAGAAATGAAAGACAGCCTTCAGAGGGCAATTACACTCATTTTTGTCGTAAGAAAGATGAAATACAGCATGAACTACATTTAAGAAGTTTTGTTGAGAGTCTGAAAAATTAATGGTTTATGTCTGAAAATCAAATGACATAAATATATATGTGGCTGTAAAAAAAACAACCACAAACTCACAGCCCTGGAGACCTCTGTTGGTCCCTCCTAAAGGAAAATCAAGTGTTTTCCAGAGTTCTTACTCTCTTTCACAAAGCTAGAAAAAAGCTGACAGTAAGACTAGAGTTCAGTAAATAAACACAACATTGCTCAGAAACAGGAATCTCTAAAACAGTTAGTGATTTTTATCTTTGCGCTTTTGTCTAATATTGAAGAGGCCCCATCCCCTCTAAGATCCGAGTTGTATTTTGTCAGATGAATGATGCTAACAAGTTAAATGCCAGTTTAGCCACAATAACATCCCACTGCAATTTGGTGGCTGTGCCAGGTGCACTGATGATCTTCATTATACTGCCTCCAAAATGCTGGCACATGTGTTTCAGGTTACACTCATTTAACATAATGAAACTAGTCTCAGGTGAAAGCATTTGTAGAAGCAGTACCTTTGATGTTGGAGTGAACCTTGAGACAAAGACAGGACACATATGTAGAATGGTGCCATGCCAGCAATGAGATACTGAGCCAGCAACAAGACAAGGATGAAGGATGTTTTGTCCTGGTGCAGCAGAATGCAATTAAGCAAATCACATTCTTCCAGCAAGCACTGTCTTTGCAGACACACAACTTGTATTCACAGCCATCTGCAGTTCAACTGGTGGTTAGGAATGCTGTACAGAGAGAATGCAAGAGCAGAGGGTCTGGCTTCTGAAATCATCGCGACCCAAGCCACAGCATGGGTCTCTCCACCCACTGAGTGTGAGAAGGAAGTCACCAGGCTTGCTTCACACCTGCCCTTCATCTCATGTAGACACCTGAGCGCACAGAGCTGGTTTGAATGTTACCGGGGCAGATGACAACACTTGAAGTAGTGTGAGATCACCAACTGCCTGGTACCACTGTTAGGAACCTTGTTTTCTCTAAGAATTGTTAAGCACTGAAAGGACACAGAATACAGGACCTAAAAGTCAAGAAGCACCACTTACTTCTTGCAGCCACTGCTTTATGGAGAGTGAGAAGCACTGCTAAACAGCTGTGGCCAGAGCACATAAAAGAAATAATGAATCTGCCTTCCTGCCAGCCCACAAGAAAAGATAACAAGCTTCATCTCATTCATATTAAACGATCCAATTCTGTAGCATCTGGGTTTCTAAGGTGTGTTACTAGCGACATTTAAGCCCGCTCCTCACGGGACCTCACGGTGTTTCAGGTGCCCTCAGACGTGCCAGAAGGCCTTCTTTACTCTGTATGCGAGGACCAGGTTCCTCCCTCCTCGCTGACCGGCTCCGGCCCCCCCTCAGCGGCGCTGCTAATGAGGGCAAGCAGGCGCCATCCCGCACAGCGGCCAGCGGGGGATGGCTCCTCCCGGCCGCAGGTAGACTCCCAGGTAGCCCTGGCGCCGCTCTCCCCTCCTGGGTCTCTGGCGGCCCAGGTGGCCTTGATGAGCCTGCCAGGGCCGGCAGCCGCAGCCCGCGCATTGGTCGCTGCTGGGCGGGTCATTAACCGGGGTAGGTCGGACGTGCCTGCGCCGGGCCGGCATGGATGGGACGGGTGCGGACGAGGAGCGGGGGCTCGAAGGGTCGGGTAAGAGCTGAGCCACGGGGCCGGGGCGCCGAGTCTCATTAACGCCCTGGGGGAGGCACCCAGCAATGAGCATAATGAGCAGCCCTGGTGAAGGATAATGACTGTTGCCTCGTCCAGGCTGTTAACCTATGCAGCGAGCGGTTGGCAGCCATGAGCCGCTGCTTCGCCTTATCGCCTCAGGCAGGCGGCCCGTGGTGTCTTGGCGGGAAGGCGCAGTTTAGCCTGCGATGCCTTGTGTGAATTGAGGCAATGGCTGCCTGGTCCTGGTGTCTCATGGCTTGTAAAGGCGCCTGGGGAGCCGGTGTGAGGGTTGGGTGGTCATCCCTTCATATCCCTTTGTACCACGCAGGGGTTCATACTGCCTCTGGGTATCTAGGCTGCCAGCACTCACCACCTTTACCACTGTCCAGTTTTAATCCCTCTTGTCCGAGCCTGTGTGAGTGGACCTGTGAAGCTGATGTTTCTGCTTGTGTGTGTGTGTTAGGTTGCTTTTATGCTCCAAAAAAAATACTTTAAAATCTTGCTGTTGCTGTGCCAGGTGGTTTTCTTGCTCCAAGAAACACCTAAAGAGGGGGCAGTGAGAAGAAAAAGGATTTTGATTCCTGTCTGTGCACCTTCATCAGCTCAGGCATTCCAGACCCTGTGATGTTCCCAGTCAGTTAAAATCCCTTCTGTGCAAGGCTGTATTTATCAAAAAGTAGAACAAAGTAGGATGTTTGGTCTGGTCTCTCGTCATATGAGTGATGGAAGAAAGGAATGATTTGGTTAACTCCCTATTTGTTACCAGCAGGCCTATCTTCAGACTTTATTTTCATCTCAGTATTTTTCTTTGGCAATCCTAAGATGTTGTCAAGCCTTTGCTATATTCTTTAGGAATAGAGACAGCAATTTACTTTCTCTTGGAGGAATATTCCTGTAGATGACACAAAACTCCCAGGTGTTAATCTTGTTCTCTGCTGCAAAGTATATACACAAGACTTTGAAATGTATTTTCTGATGTAAGCACACACTGGTGTTGGCATAAAAAGAAGCAAAAAGCCCTCTCAAATCAAAGCACTAAGCTGAAAATGCTGTTCCTCATTTGAGACAGGGTGAGCTGAATGGATGGCCAGTGAAAATTTTCCCTTTTTCACATAATAAGTGAGATGAGCCCAGAAGCAGTGAGGAGGATGGTAAAAAAATGAATTATGTAGAGCATAGCCAGCTTTTGCCTCTCTCAGTTCTTGACCTTCCCCATCAGAATATTTCATCTCATTTAACAGCAGTGGAAACTGTTGCTACTTAACATGATCAAATTATTACGGTTGCATAGTTTCCTGCTTCTGTCTCTTTCCCCTGCAACTAATTCAGTTCTCTTAATCCTATAAAAAGCAAATTGAAGGTCTTGGATGCAGCCTGGCGTCCCCTTGTACTTCCATAAAGATTGTCCCATCTGACTGGTGGTGTGGGGTTCCTTCTTGATAAATTATTTAAGAAAGAAACACTGAGGCAGAAAGCAAGTTCTTTATTTTGGCATATATATATATATATATATATATATATCTCAAAAGCAGGAGTGAAATAAAATTATTTAAGATGCTTTTCTTCCCAAATTAAACAATCACAGTTCTCTTCAGGCACATACAACTCAAGTGCTGCCACCAGCCTGTTCAAGCTTTCCTCTTTCCAGAGACAGATATATGATTTTGGTTTTATTACTCTACTTTTCATTCTTAAGCAATAGTAACTTGTCTTTTTTTAAATTTATTTTTAAGTAGCAGAAATCACAGACTCACACATTCTAATCTAATAAGCAGATTTTCTTTTGGAAATGTACATCCCAGATGGGAAATGCTTCTTCACTATTCTATTACCTATTTTAATTATTTCTCTTGCAGTGCTCTTTCTGACCTGTCTTATACTGTCCAGGCTCTCTTATTTTAATGTAGTTTGTGCTTTTTGTTAAACTCGGTCAGACTTTTTCACCTAGTTTTGTCCTCAGCCAACCTTATAGATTTGTCTGTTATTCATAAGTTATGCCTGAAGCCGCAGAAAACTAATTTGAGGCAGTTATTTGAAGTTTCTACAGTTTTGGGGTGTTTTGCTTGGTCAACTTGAGCATGCTAGAAACAAAAACCTCTATAAATCAAAAAGTGATGTAATTTGTCAAATAATCACTGCTCATACAGTAGACCATAATTTTGCTTGTATTTTTCTTTTGCTCATTTTAATAAGATGGCACTTAGTGTCCTGGTAAGTCATTGAATCATTTTCTGTTCCTTATTCCAAAGACCTTTGTTATCCATAGTGTTGTTTTCCCACTTCTGTTGTTATAATACACAACCTTTCCTTTATTCTCTGAGCCTGGAATTAGTTCTTCCTGTAGTTTAGAGTTTGTTGATTTTGCAGGCATATTCATTCTCAAAATGAGGCTTTTCTTGTCTCAGATGTTTGAATAGCTCCATATTGACCAGATGTCATTCTTTGCTGTTGCTTTCCTAGCAGCACCTTGTATGGTGACAATCTTTATCCTGAACTCTAATTCTTTTCACTGTTGGGTTTTATTGTGTAATGTTTTCCTTCTCCCATAACTGGCAGCTCCTAACCCAGCACACTCTTTTTTTTCATGCCATTCAGGCACAGCACATCTGGCTTAGACAATATGCGTGGGGGGGGTTGTGGGGTGTTGTTTTTAATTTTTCCCCTGTAGAGTGCAAGGACAAGAAGGAAGATGCATCATTGAACACTGAGCACTTTGTGGTACATGCTGATGCTGCTGGTGGGCATGGTACAGGGAGCAGTATGCTGTCTATGTTCAAAAGCACAGCTATAAAGGAAGTTGAGGATAACTTGGGAACAGAAGATAGAATCAGCGTTATAAAGGAGGTGGAAGAAGATGGAAGATACTGCACCCTGCAGGCAACTGGGTCAGCTTCCCAGGAGTCAGTGGCCCTTGATGGCCAGCTTGACCTTGCCTCAGTATGTGGGAGACTGTCAAATTTCCTCAGTGACACAAAGGCTGTGCCTCCACTTTCTGTGGTTGAAGTTGCACAGGAGCCCACATCACAGTCAGGGTCCTGTGAGCAGTGTCAGAGCTATTGCTCTGATGGGATTGAAAAGGAGGCAAAGAAGAAGAAAAGTAAAAACAAAAGTGGGATGTGCTCCAATAAAGTACCTGGTGGAATCCCTAGAGACCTCTGCAGACAGGATGTGTGTGGCCCAGCTACTCACCAATCATCAGAATGTACTTCAGGCAGCGTTGCAGCTCAGCAATCCTACAACGTGTCTTCAGTCCTGGAATGTGGAAGTAGCCACGATGGGGCCAAGGGAAAGAAAAAATTATTTGAGAATCCAACAATTCTGCCACCAGTCAGGAAGAAGTTACGCACCTTCTATAACGCAGGTAGATACAGGGGAACCCACTGGCAGTGACGCTTGTAACGTCAGGCACTGATGTTTCCTTCACCATACTGAAGGCACAGTACGGGGGTGCAGAACTGCTCTAAATGGTATTGAGTGCATTCTACATTTAGATGTGTGAAGACTTCTTCAAATAAAGGTTTCTGAGTACCTGATGCTTGAAGCATCACTAGCAATGCTCTTTGTTTTAGTGTAGAAGATTTTCATTTTTGTGGTTTACTTGAAAAAAAAAAGCCCAAACCAAACAAACTGAAAAATCTCTTATGTTGTTGAAGTATTTCTAGGTATAGTAAAAAAATGTTCGGTTTTGGTTTTTCCTGTCTTGTTTCTTTCTATTTGTTTTCTTATCACATACTCCCGGTTTCTCTCTCTGAACAATGTACTATATCTAGAGCAGTTAGAAGAGTTGGAGAAGATGTTCCAGGAAGACCACTACCCTGACAATGAGAAGAGGAGGGAGATTGCAGCTGTGGTTGGTGTAACGCCACAGCGTATCATGGTAACGCCTGCATGGGTAACTGGTGACAGTGTGTGGGTTCTATGCAGAAAATTGATGGGAGAGGGACTGAGGTAGGGAGGAAGAACTTGAATAGGAAGGAAAGAGGAGCTCATGAGTACCAGGATAGAGACTGCACTTGCCACTGGTGACAAGAGAAGGAAAAGACCTCACAAGGATGGACACTGCACAACCAACTGCTCCATTCAGAATGGCAGTGGAGCCTGCGGTTGTGTACTCCATTTATTCCCATTTCCTAAGACTAGACACATGGTAGGTAAAGAGGCTAAGGAGGTTGGAGTTAATCTCCTACCTTGAAGATCATGAGCAAGGAAGGAAACTGGTGTTCGGAGGGTATTGTTCTACTGTTATTCTTCTCTTTTGTTTACAGTGAATCTTGCAGGTTCTTGCAGGAAGAAAGTTTTCTTATCTGGTTATGTGTGGAGGCAGTCATTGTTGCCTCCTTGCCTGTGTCCCCATGTGTAGATGGTTTCCTCTTTGAATGCATCCTTTCTTGCATTTATCAGGTCTGGTTTCAGAATCGCAGGGCAAAGTGGCGGAAATCAGAGAAGTTGAGTGTGAAAAGCAACAAAAAGCATCCAACATCCTCAGCACCGTAAGTCCCCCTTGGGTCAGATGGTTATGGGTGAGGGACTTAACTCCGTTTTCTCATTTCTCCACGATAGATACCTAATGAACTAAGTATTTTCCCTTGCCATTTCCCCTTCGTTTTTAACCTATGGAGAACTGACCATTCAGTTAGACCTCCGCAGCATGTCGTATTCATGGGCAAGTTGTAGTGGACCCTCTTAAAAGCACTTTTGATTAAGCTGGAGCACCATTTTCGAATAAAACTGTTTAAATGGCTCTGGCTCCACGATTTGCCTATCATAGGACAGTTAGAAGAGATTACTTTATTGTAATGTCTTGTCTTGTCCTTTGGTCTATGCTCATACACTTTATGTATACCTCCAGGCCACCTCTTCAGTCCATGCCTCCGTTACCTGACACTGCTCATGACCAGTCTGCTGTGCTGGACGTTGACACTACAGGTGGGAACTACCCCAGCTTGCTCAGTGGATATCCTGCACCACTTGCCTCCTCCTCAGGTGAGACCCCATATCATTACAGGTATTCTGTGGAGCTGCAGCATTAGCTGGTGGTGCTGGTAGGTCCTCAAACACTTTAGGGACAGTCATCTGAGATCCCTATGTTGTCAGTTCAAAAAGTGACACCAGGTTTAACAGGTCTCTGCTAACTGAGTATGTTATGTACCAAGTTTGCAGTCTTGTTCATGTCCCTGCACAAACCATTAAGGAATTCTGAATATGACTTCATAAGCATATATGGCTGGAGCATTCTTCCATTTGACACTAGTACTGCTTCTCTGAATTATGATGAAAGCATTATTCTGGTTATTATGTCCGTCATGGCAGATACACACATCCCGTGTTCTGGTTTAGGCTGTAACATCCTGGCTTGAATCTCTAGTCAAGCGAGCTGTTTGAGGAACATGCACTGTATAAAATATAAACTGTTGGGGTTGTAGAGCCTCCCTCAGGTACTCCATACCTTTAAATCTCCAAAGGAAGTTCCTTGACTCCTCCAGCCAGTGCAGTTTTTGCGCAAGACCTGCGCAAGGAGTGAGACTAGTTGAGTGCTTAAGCATACAGCTTAATTGCTGGTGCAGTGTTGTTGAAAGTCAGTGGAGTGTGCTATTTGACCGTTTTTCTACCTGAGCTGTATTTAGATTTTAAAGATACATGGCAACCAAAGGGAGAGGATTAGTTCAATTATGTATGCATGCATGGAGTACCAGACCATTCCCTAGAGTCAGGAATGTTCCCTAGAGCATTTCCTATATATGTTTATGCTTCCAAGTTGGCACAACTTGAAAATATTTCCAAAGTGATGAGGACTTCACCACTTCCTTAGGGACGGATATCCCAAGCAGTAAATGAGCTGACATCTGGTACTGCTGTACATATTTTCCTGCTTCCCAGTGTAATTAATTCTTCTGAATTTTATGGCATCATTTCTGCCCGCTCATTATATTTTAAATATGCAGTGTTACCAGTATTAAGGGCAATTCTATCCACGTCATTTTCTAATAATGACTCAAAGACTTTAATGTATTTTTAATAGTGCTGATACCTTAAAAGTATTTTGGCACAGTAGAAATCAACTATAAGATTGTACCAATAAGTTCAGGATACCAATAAATAGATATGTATGCTAAAAGTACTTAATTGAGATATTTCCTTGATACCATCATTTAGGACTTGTTTAAATTTGCCTGTCATAGTCGCAAGGCAAGGACTACTTCAGGCAATCTTATGAGCTGTTTAACCAATATGACTGTAATTCACTTAGTTCCAGTTTCTCCATTTCTTCTTGTAGCGGAATAAATGTGTTTGAATAATTCACTGCTTTCCAGAATGATGAAGTGGTGCAGTCTGTTGAGTCCTGTATTTAATTAGATAAAGACAAAGATTTTGCAAAGTAATTAATTTAAAGGAAATAAACCAAATATCCTCATCTTTCTGCTCTTGTATTCAGAACTTTCCTGCTTCCTAAAGTACATCTGCAAACATACTATTTAGTCAAGAGAGAATATGCTGGAGAGATTCAGGGATGTGATCTTGTCATCTGTCTGTATGGAGCAATTTCTTTCTGGGGAATCTGCACAGTGGGATGCAATTCTCTGTGTGGAAAACACCAACAATCTTTCTGATACAAAAGAAATGTCCTGTGAATTCTTTGTGCAGTGTGTAAGGAAGAAAAAGGGCAAGTGAGCGTCTCTGAGAGTGGACTGGGTATGTGAGAAAATAAGCAACAAAGATAGCTGGGTTTTTTTACTCCTTGAGTCCTTTGAGCTTCTAGCTGACTGACATTTGTGTATGTATCTAGCGTTTATGAAACACATGCTTCCTTTGCTCATCTGAAACCCCTACATCTTCAGTGTAATGGATCTGTGAAGATGAGAATGCACTTCATTCTGCTACATTTATATGAGGGAACAAGCTTCCCCATGTTCTCTTTAAATCACGCTGGGCAAGGAGTAATGAAATGTATTTGTGCCATCTAAAGCTGGTAAATGCTTTCCAGATACAGATCTGGGTGGAAAAAAAAAAAGAGTACCTTTTCTAAATCACTTTTCAGAGAAGAGGCATGCTTTGCTGCATGGTGAGGTTTGGTGATTGGTTTTTAACCTCCTTGCCTGAGGGAAGGGAGGAATACGGGTGTGTGTTTGAGACTTTGTGTATGACTTTGTTTATGAAAACCCACCCTGCCCTCCAAATGTGTACATAGAAGGTGGAAGTCTTAAAAATTACATTCTTACAAGTAATGGAAGAATTGGTGCCCAGGCAGAGTAGAGATCTAAGTTAGTGCTCCCTCTGAGGGAAAAACTATTACTAGGTGTAGAGACTCCTCATGGAAGAGAAATTTGCATGGTACAGTTGCTTGAAAAGCTTCAGATGCAATTTTGCCTTACTAGAAGCATAATAACACAGCCATGGGGAATGAAACTTGCTTTTTTTTGTTATCTAGCATTGCAGAGGCAGACTTTTCTCTTTAAGAATGAAAGCTGAAACTGAAATGGAAAAAAAGACAATCTGACTTCTTAATTCATTCAGCCTCCTTGTTCAGAAAAGGCTTGACAATAAATACAGCCATCTAGGGTCCACCTTCTTTCTGTATTAGAAGATCTCGGAATAATGTCAGGAGCCCAGCCTGTGCTGGTAGCTCTGATGCAAATAGCAAGATGATTATTCAGTGGCAGAGATGGGATTGTAATCTACATCTTGGGAGCAGTTGGATAAAGTTGGTATCGTCCGCCAAAGAACGGTAAATAAATGACAAGCTCTAATGGTTTCACTTAGAGGATTCTGGCTTTTGAACAAGTTACTTTAAAGCTGATGATATGTAGCAGCCATGGCAAGAAAGAGTCATACCTTTCAAACAAGTGGTAGGTCCCAGAAGAGGATCAGAGTAACATGCTTCTCAAAGCAATGCTGTTAGAGCCTGAAGTTGATTTACTAATCTTCAGTCCATTAAATTAAGAATGCTCTTGCTTCTGTTTGATTAATATTTTGTCTACTTTCAAAATGTCATTTACAGAGAAATGTATTTTCTTGTGTTTTCAAAAAGAGTATGTACTGATGAAAAGCTTTGTGATGGCCCTTAATGTTCCTGTAAATGCTGCAATTACACAGGCATGTTTCACTAAAAGAAACTGGATTTGATTGTGTATGATGTAGAGACTCTTAGTAATACAGCCTTTTGCTGTACTCTTGATTTGATGCTTGACAGAGCAGCCGTAGCAAGTAGACTATCTGAGGTTAGTTAGGTTGTTCAGTCTTTAATCAATGTCAGCTGCATAGTGCCCAGTACTGGGCTTCTTAAACAGTTACAGTCATGGTCTCTGGCATCTCAAACTGCATAGTTAACTGCAAGAATCATCGCAGGCTTCTCATGCCAAAGCCTTTTGGAGTCAGCATCTTTTTGTCTTCACCATCTTTTTGCCTGTGTGTCCTATTGCCCTGATCCACAAAGACTATCTGTGCTAACTGTTGAAAATGTTTCGAACCCAGAACTTAATTCTTACTAAGTGTGAAAGTGGGTTTAGAAGCAACTTCCTTATCTCTGGTGTTAATACTGCTTGTATTCATCCTGAGCAAGACCAAGGCCTTCTGCAGAATAGCTAATAACACTGTCATTATTGAAGTTTCATCTGGATATAGACTTTTTCTGGTAAGTTGTCCCTCACATGGCTTCTGTTTCATAATGTTTGTGTGAACTCCTACATTGTGTGACAAAATAGTTAGGAGAACCAGTGCAAATAGAGGTTTAAAAAAAAAATCAGAAGAGATCTTCAGCTTCATTTCTGGCTAAGCCATTTTGACTTTTGAGGGAATAAAATGTTGTCTTGACAAGTGCTTTGTTTGTGTGGGGAATAGATTTGTGCTGTGTCAAAACCCAGGAATGTGACAGGTACATTGAAAATGCTGCCTGACATAAAGAAATCATATGTTCAAATAAAAAAATGTAAACCATGCCTGGGCATGTGAATGTTTTAGGGATGCCACCCCACATCTTGCTGTAGTATTCTAAGTGAATCTATTCATGTTTTCATTGAAATGAAAACTCCCTCTCTTCACAGTTGCAGACAGCTGAAAAAGACCTGATGTGTGAAGGTGCAATAAGATAGACATAATTGCACAGCACACTGGCAAATCTGAGAACTGATGCTGTAAGATGTTGTAATGGGATCTCCTTGTCAGTTCTCTGGCATGCATTCCAAAATTCTCTAAAAGTTGCTCTGCTTGCTGTGGCAGCTTTATGTTTATGTTTTGTGTTTAGGTTTTATGTTTAAGGCCTTTGATTCACATCTGGTGGATTGTATTTGATGTTACTCTGTATGTCTGCAAGGGTGAAGTACAACTGTAAACTACCCATGCTACTAGCTTTCCCTGAATACTTTAGAGCGTGTGGGAGTAGACCAACTTTACCTGAATAGTCAGTGATACTTTCTCATACATACCTATCTCATCTTTGTGCTGGTTCAGCCGAGCTAGACTTCATAGAATCACAGAATGGTTTAGATTGAAGGGACCTTAAAGATCATCTAGTTCTAAAACCCCTGCCATGGACTTGAAAAAATCATTTCAAATTGTGTCATGCACACTTGATCGTTAACACTTCTCAAGAGGGAAATCACTTGCCATTTGGCACAATAAAACAGAATCTTGTTCACCATGTGCAAGCTTCTTGAACTTCCGTATATATATGTTAACTCTGTATCACTAGCATACATGATTTTGACCTTTTCATTTCCTATATTGTCCTCTTTTCACAGAGGCTGTTCTCTTCCTCTCTCCTTTTCCAGCAATGACCAAGGAGACAGGTTACCAAACAACATTCTAGCAACCAAATGGTGCTGGTTTCCTTTTCCACCTCCCAGCTTCTTTTTCCCAAGGCCCTTCAGCTGATATATCTGCTTTTTTTTTTTTTTTCCTAACTTTTTTTTTTTTTTGCATGACTCATCAGAGGCCAAACCAGGAGTGAAAATTTGGTTAAAAGATGGCCCAGACAGTGGATCTCTACAGGCACATTTTTGTTTCTTTCAAACCACAGTTACATTTTTCAAAAGAGTAATCTGTACGACACACTCTTCCCAGAGGGCAGCAGAGATGGAAGATGGCTGGGGGATTATTCCTGGCTCTTTTCCAGGAAGTACTCTGCTTCATTTGGCTGCCTTGAGAGCAGAATAAATCTAGTATGGAGAGACTGAAATCATTAAGGTAATTTTATTTAACCAATATACATCATCCTCTGTTACAGAGAGCTTGCTACTACTCCCTTTTGCTTCCCAGCAGCAATGCTGGTGCTTGTTTACTTTTATTCCCATCAGTTAACCTCCCCTCTTTCACTGGCATCTTGTTTTTCTGTTTTGCTGCTTTTGTCATTCCCTCTGCTTGCTCCTTTTAATTTTCAGAATGACAGCATAGCATGACAGTCTCTCTTTTTATTTACAGTATCGTCAGTGGTAGGAATGGTGACATCCTGTGAAGCAGTTCAGACAAAGGCATTGCCACAGCTCAACTTCAGTTTCAGCAGAATGGAGGGCTTCCCTAGTCTTCCCAGCCCTCCACCCATCCGCAGGGCCAGCCTGCCCCTCAGTTTGGCCGTCAACTTGCACAACCACGTTGTTCCTTTGATGCTGGACACTCCCAACAGTGAATGCTGCTTTTCCTGTCAGCAGAATGGCTCGAGGGAGGCCTTCACGTACAGCATCCAGAATCAAGGGTAGGAACAAATGAGATTAAAAAAGTGAACCCTGGGAGAAACCTTGGGAGGGTGAAGGTGGGACTTGGGACAAGGAAATAGCATAAGTTTAAAGTCAGACATGGGAATGAAAATGTCCTTTAAATGGAATATGAAAAAAAATGTATAATCTGTGTGGTAGGACAGTTCACCTGTTGAAAAAGTGATACCTTTAATAAGAGTGTTTTCAGAACTGCATGCCTGTCAAGTGAAAGTATAGTTCAGAAGCACAGTGAAAGGGAATCCTTCAGTGCAGATGTTTTAAGCATTAGGGTGTTCTTTGGAAAGCAGGAAGAACTGCAGGAAAGGTAATCCCCACTAACGCAACTGTTAAAGAATCTTGCTGTGAAAGCCCTTGACTCAAGTGGTTTCTGTTGGCCTTCTCCCTCCTGGCATTTGAGAGGAAGGGCTGGAGTCATATCAGCTATTGGGGGAAGATGCAATTGTTTACAGGTTGCTGTAGCTGTTGACCCTACTTGAATCTCTGAATTGTCTCTCTCCTTGCTCTTTGCAGCTTGAATTCACCAGTTCCCTTCAATTATCCCGAGGAGCTGGAGTCAGCAGGCAACCTAGAGGACACATACTGTCCGTACAGCAGCCAAGATGGAATTTACCAACTGCCCCAATACCCCCAGCAGCACCAGCTCTCCCAGTTCCACCATCTGCCAGCTCACCTGACCAGCAATGTGCTCTCCAGTGTCCACCTCAGTCCTACAGCACCCACTGAGTCCCATACAGCTTTCCTCCCCTTACCTGGTAACAGTGGAATTGTAACCCATGGGGCACCAGGAACCACACAAGCATACGTGCAAAGCCATGTGGGGGAACAGCTCTTACAGCACCCAAGTGAAAACTCAGGTAAATTCTGAAATCTTTTGGCATCCTGCTCCTTCTGGAGTAACTAAACAGTGCACTGAAACATTCAGGATGACCAGAGGTTTTACTGATGACTGACAGAAAGGGGAAATGTGCATATACACACACAAATATATCTGTATAGATATATATGCTGCCTTTTATGTATTTTCTACTATGTTATTTTTTAAAAGCGCTGAGTGATCCATTAATTTGATTCAAAAGTTCCTACACAGGCTGTATGTCAGAGAGAGCGTTACTATGCGAGTATCTCAGGTATTGCAATAGTTCTGTCTGGAATGGAAAGCTAACTTATTTTTTAGGAGTGTACTGTTGTGCAGACTGACATGCCTTCAGTGTATGTGGCTGGGGGTCAAGGGTGCAAAGTGAGAAATGTGCCACAGCAAATGGAATAGGTGTAGACAGCAAAAAAACCCCATGCTTCCAACTGCTGGGCTTCTGCAGACACCATTTTGAAAGAATGTTGTGTATCTAAAGGTAGTGCAAAAGGAGAGAGTTAGATGGGATAACAGTATAGATAGAGCTTCTTTCTTTTTCTTCTTCTGACATGAATTTGCAATACCACTTAGATGAAGGCATTTCAGGAAGTTTGGTAAAAAAGCAACTAGGTAAAAATGACATTGTCAGTCTTCTTGTTTTATGTCAGGGATTTGTATTTTTGAAGTTGTTCAGGTCAAGATACAACCAAAAGTTGAACTATTGCAGTTTATTGTCTGGACTGTCAGGTTTGTTAAATTAAGCTTACAGTCCAAAAAAAAAAATCTCATCTTATAAAAGAGCAAAGAGTTTTCAGACCACAGAGCTGCTCCTGTTTTTCCACAGTTTTGTAGACCTTGCTGGGGAGAGAAGTCTACTCACAAGGTGGCTCATGTTCACTGTTCATGTCTACCACTCGGCAGAACAGGTTGGCAGCACCCATGCTATCTAGCACAGAAAGGATTCTCCTTTCTGCTTGTAAGGGATAATTATTATTTTCTGTGGTGTTTCAGTCTGAAGTGCCAGAAGTAATGAGGTGGGCTGTGTCCCATTGCACGGTGTTATGTTTGTATAGCGTGATGCCAGAAGTGGCTTGCGTGCCTTAAGGCATGTCGTGTGAGCATAAAGGGATATGTAAAGGTGCAAACCTTGTTAGGACTGGTAAAGCTGGGGGATTGTTGAACAGAGGCAGAGGTGATGTTCCCTTATGGTATACTTACGTCCAGAGCACAGTTAGCAGTGCCCGGCTCTTCTGTCCAAGGAAGGGATCCTCTGACTGTTATACAGAGTCGACAACCAGGGCCTGGGGTTCCAGAAGATAAATGGGGATGGAACCAATCTGTAAATATAGACACACTCCTAATTTTTCCTCAGAATGTAAGCAAGTGAGCAGTTTATCTGGATTATGCATATTCACTAAAAAACATTCCTGATTCCTGGATGGGAGCATCCAGCTTATGCTTTGCAGAGCTTACTTGGAAGATAGGAGTGGAGGAAAGACAATTGGGGTGTGTGTCTCTAATATTATTGCATACACTCAGGATATATGCTGAAGTGACATGGTTGGGTGTTGTTTTCTGGTTTGGGGTGGGGTTTTTTTTGTGTGTTTTTTGTTTGTTTGTTGTTTTTTTAGATTATAACAACACTATGAACTTCCAAAGTTTTTCCTTTTAATAACCATGTTTTGGATAAATACGCTGTGATGTATACAACAAAGTCTACCTTCATGTGTGTGATATCTGCAAAACCATATTTGCATTGAATGTGCTCTCTTAAGCCCAACATACATACATATTTTTATATACATGGTTTTAGTCCTCCTTTCCTTATTTTCATTATTCTGTCCTTTGCTGCTTTTTCCTCAGCAGGCATCCCTGCCTATCCCGCTGTCCCCTGGAATGATTTCTACATGCAGGGAGCTCCATTCTCAAATCAGGTGTGCTCACGAGTGCCATTTTCTAGCACAGCAGGAGAAAAGTACTTCACTGAGACTTCCTATGCTCAGGCACCTTGCCTACCCTCCTCCTCCCGTTTTCAAGTGCCCAATGGAACAACACTGGGATCCGTGCCACATGCTGAAAAACAAAAGGGAGGGACACCACCAGACCAGAGTTCCTATCAGAATCACCAGCAAGAGCCAGAGATGACATCTCTTCCTGAAAGAGAGGAAGTAGAGAGTAGCAGCAAGAAAGAAGAGACTATTGTTGGTAACTAAAAGGCCAGCTGATTTTTTTTGAGAAGTAGGGGATAAAGAGAGTTCTAAGACAGCAGTAGCTCCTCTGAATACAGGATTGAAACTATGGCATGAATGGGAATGGAACTTTTTCTTGGGTTTCTGTCCAAGACAGATCCTATTATCCTATACCTAGTTCTTAGATTTATCTAGTTTTAGAATCGGGGACTTATAGGTCAGTAATATAGACTGACAGAATCACAGAATGGTTTGGGTTGGAAAAGACCTTAAGATCATCTCGTTCCACCCCCCCTTCCATGGGCAGGGATGCTTCACACTAGACCATGTCACCCAAGGCTCTGTCCAACCTATATAGATGGCAAAGTTTTGTCCTCTGTCAGATATTATCTGTTGTGAGCTGAATGAATATACAGGACCAGTTATTTCTAAGATTTTCATAAGCATAGACAAGGTAGAACTTCTGAGTAAGAAGAGGAAAGGGAAAGGAAGACTTTGTGTTTGGATTGCCATTTGCAATTTTGGAAACAGAATTACCTTACTCTGGATTAATTGAAAGGTGTCATACACCTTAAATATTCTTTGTTTGTCTAACTTTGAAATATAAAGCTTTGTTCAAATTTAAGGTATTCTGTGTCATGTGAAATCACATTTTCTTATGCATCTGCTTGTTTTTTCTTCAGAAATTAAGAAGAAGCTAATGACTGATGCTCCACTCTGAGGGGGGGGAAAAAGCAAAGGAAGAGGAAACGTTGCCATTTTTTAAACTCTGCAAAATAAGAGACCGAAAACAAGAGACAAGAATAATATTTGCAACAGAAGCAATATTTTGTTTCTTTTTTGGGGTTGTATTTGATTTTTTTTCTTGTTGCCATGATTATTTTCTTGCTGAGGAAAGAAGCAGGGAAATTTCAGCCAATAAAGGCTTCTGGCCTGTGTTTTTTTTGCAAACCTCCTGACTTTATTCTTAATGAATGAATTCTAATCTTGAGGAGCACACAGACAAAAAAAAAAAAAAAAGCTGATACAGGCACCACAGTCCCATGAGTAGGTGGAAATTCCAGATCATGCGAGAGTCAGACAGTATGACTGGTATCCTGGAATACGTGGGAAGACAGCCCCAGAAGAATAAGGCATTTGCAAAACAGGGAGAGGAGCTCCAGCAACTACACCTAATCTTAGGGACTCCAAACAGTGAAAGAAGTATCATTGAAAGCCCAGCACTGGTTTGGTGTTTGCTAGCCTTCAATTACTTTCCTTTAAAAATATTTAATATAAAACTATAACAATAAATGGCAGCAAAACTGGAATTATAAATGCTGGCAGTGTAACCAGATCTCTCTCAGTTATGAACTGGTTTAGCATCCCATTTGAATTGTACATGGGTTTGAATGTCTGAGGATTGTGTTAAATTTTTGTTTTGAATTAGTTGATAGCCGAAGTACTTGGTGGGTACTGCTTTCTTAAGTTACTTGGTCATCATCTGTGAACTAATCCAACTGGTATGGCTGAGATGGCTTAGTTATCTCAAAAGCAGTTAAGCTCTCTACTGTCTTTGAGTTAAGTGGGTATGCCTTGCATTTATGTCTGCATCCTGTTGGCTGTTTTACAGTTTAATCTGATGGGATATTTTATAAGTGTGGGTTTTTTTCATGCATTCCTCAAATCTTACTGTGGGAATATCACACTGCAGTGTCAGCAGGAGTAGTGCAGTAGAGCAAGTAATCTTGGCTTGATAGTCTCAGCTTTTGCTTTACCTGGGGCTGTCATCCTGGGAAACGGATACAACATGTCTCTGAAATCAGTCATCATCAGCAGTAGCCAAGGACTCAAGTGAAGAGATTGTTTACTCTGGTACATAAACATATGGCTGTAGTCTGCAGGAACTGTGATTTCCAAATGAACTTTAACCGCCCAAATGTGTGGGATATATGAGTACCTAAAACAGTACGTCAGGCTTTCACTGTGTCCTTGTGAGGAAAGACCATTGTGTTGTAGCAAGCTGGGGGTATGTTTCCTTTGATAATTTGTGCTTAACCCAGCATCTTTCTGCTGTCTTTTGGAGGCACGCAAGGCCTGAATGGTTTTCCTGCACCGAGCTTCACTTCCTTCTGCACCTTCCAGCAGGGCTGAGAAGGCCAGGTTCTGGGGGATGGCCCCAAGTACTCAGCACCAGCAGTGCCCTACACTGCTGCTTAGCTTTGGGGTTCTCTCCTGATATTTGACAGACCAGAGGTTAAGATATAGTAATTTACAGTGATTTAATTACCAAATAACAAGTGGGATAATATGTGAGTGTTACTTAAAGAAAGAAAAATATTTTGTTTTCCTCATACTATGTGCTGGAAAAAAAAAAATCATAATTTGAAATGAATTTTATACAGTCCTTTCTTTACTGAAAAGAATAGCATTTGATTGGTGACTTCTCAACACCTTGCTTGGACTGAAAAGACAGTCCTTGTTTATTGTCAATAAAAAATAGTGATCTTTTGCCACAGAAGCTGACTTTGTTTCCATAAGTGATACTTTTATTTTAAGAAAGCAAGCACCATCTTCTCTACTACCATAAATTAGAATCAGACTTTATAGGATTTCTTAAATAAAGTAGTATATCAAAGAAGTTTATGGTCATTTGCTAGTGGCAGTATTAGGAAACTGGCAGATAAGTGCATCCTCAGCTATGTGCTGCGAGGTGTGCACAGAGCTGGGTCCTGCCATCATTGCAGCCGTGGCAGAGTAACACTGAAGGGACTACAAGAGGTTGGGATGCCTTCGTGGCTCTTCTTTTTCCCAGTGTAATGCCTTAAACCACCCGATAAGCCGCCATGGCCTTCTAATACCTTTCCATGTAAACAGTTATGTGAGTCACCATAATGACTAGGTTAGGTGGTCTATAAGGCTAGCTCACCTAGATGGTTAGATGGTCTTGTTTTGCATTTGGTTTGGGAGTTGTGACCCACACTGTGAAGATGTTTAAGGCTTCCCAAACCCTATGGACTGCAGCTGGCAGGCTTTGTCAGCAAGAGTAGCTCCATGTGGAGCATGCTTCTGCCAGCTCCTTTTTGGGAGCAGTTCCCACTGAGGGCTGTTGTTAATTAAGTAAAAACTGTATGGCAGGGGGTTAGAAATGGATGATATTTGAGGTCCCTTCCAACCCAGACCGTTCTGTGATTCTATGATTTTTATATGTACAGTGATCTGGGTGCCCCTTTTGTACCTTGTGAAATTAAGCGTTACCAGGTCTTTTGTTTCAGTTTCTCCATAGTGTATTCATAGTGTCTGGCAGGAGCTGAATCCTGCTGCTCCTCTTCTTTTTCTTTCTCCCATGTCTTGTAAAACTCTGACAGTGGCTGAAGACTAAGTAGCATAGTGAGGAACAGATTTATTTCACTAATACACAGATTTGTGTAGAGATTCTGGAATTTCCATTTCCTAGAGCAGAAGTTTGTTCTTGTCTGTAACAAGCTGAGGATCAGTGGGGAATGTGCATTAATTCACACTTGTTTCACTCACCCACAGCTGAACAGCCTAAACCAATATTCCCAAGAGGTGTGAATAGGAGTTTTCATTGCAATTACAAGTGCACTCTGAAAACTGTTAGTGGTGCTGACAGCAGAACTCTTCATAGCTCAGGCTGGCAAAGAATCTTACCTGGGTCCAAACCTAATCTTTCCAAGAGATGAAGAGGGCAAACTCAACAACAGAATGCCAGCTTGTCCACCCCTTCCTGACCCTCCTCTTAAAGAAAAAAGCTAATTTAGGGTGTTTTTTGAGAAACTTTAAGAAATACGCCTTTTCGTTGTTGTCTGGTGGCAGAGCCATTCAGCCAGCTTGCTTATTCTGCCCAAGACATTGCCGTGTCATTTGGACATTCAGGGTCACTAAGGGCTATGTGATACAATCTTAGGAAGCTTGGAGATTGAATGAGCACAGACAGATTTTTGAAATGGAAAATCTTTTGTGTTCAAGTTTTGGATAAAATGTAGGCTTCTCTGGGAACAGTTTGAGTGGAATGGTCTGATTGGTTTCCACGCTTGTACCTTAAACTTGCCAAGTTCAGTCAGGCTTGAAGTTTTGAACTGAGATTTCTTTCCTACCACTTTTAACAGCTGAAGGGTGGGTACCCGAGAGTACACAGAGGGCTCGATTAATCCTTTCGGTGGGTCCACTGAGTTTGATGTAGCTAAATCAAGGTTAATCTACTCCAGATGTATGCAGATCACTTTTTTTCCCTGGTGCTGACACTGGCAGAAGCAGTGACAGCCCTTGACATGTGCCAGGTCTCCCACCAAGGTGAAGAGGCTTGCAGAGTTGTGTGAGCCTTTCTATTACACCTGCAATACACACTGCACTAGTACTTTGGAATCGCACCAGTCCTTAGTCTCCTTGTGCAACTTAATTTTAGTGGAATTACATACATGTTGCACAGACACCTTGGGTTGAGGCCCCTGTGTGCTCCTATGAGCTATTTCCTTTGCAGGTGAAATCTCGAGAAGGCTCACTTCCTTAGGGTGGCAGGATCAAAATTCAAAGTGCCATGGATTTCTGACTCTGGCATCTCCTCTTTCAAAGTGAAGAACTGTTTTGCCTCCCTATTGTAATTTTAACTGGAAGTACCAAGCCAAGGAGTCAGAATTTTGAAGGGAGTCAGACTTGGTGCAAATGGATATGGCTCTGTGTGTGTTACTGAATACTGCTGTGGCTTTTCCTAATTAACAAAGAGGTTTACAAGGTGGAAAGACAAATCATGGATGTGTGTATTTGTGTCAGACTAACTCAGTACCATTGTTGTAAGACTGGAAACAAGAGTGAGGATATTGTTGCACGCACACTTCCACGGAAGAAAAGCCACTGTAAGGTTTTGTCCTCTTACCAAAGCACAGCTGTTCAGCTGAGCAGTACACACACATACATGCTCATATGCATATCTGTACTCTGTATGGTATATTCTAACATAATTAAAATTGTTATTTTAAAAAAGTAATTTAAATTGTTATTAAAATTTTGACGTAATAATTAATTTGTTAACCTTCATAGAATCATATACTGGTTTGGGTTGGAAAGGACCTTAAGACCATCTGGTTCCAACCCCCCTATCAACAGCAGGGACGCCTCACCCTAGAGCATGTCGCCCAAGGCTCTGTACAACCTGGCCTTGAACACTGCCAGGGATGGAGCATTCACCACTTGCATCAGCAACCTGTTCCAGTGCTTCACCACCTTCACAGGTAAGAACTTCTTCCTTATATCTAACCTGAACTTCCCCTGTTTAAGTTTACACCCATTACCTTTTGTCCTACCACTGCAGTTCCTGACGAAGAGTCACTCTCCAGCATTATTCAGATACTGGAAGGCTGCTGTGAGGTCTCCATGCAGCTTGTCTTCTCCAGACTGAACAGCCACAACTTTCTTACCCTGTCTTCTTATCTACTGCTACTTCTAAATACCTGACGTATAAATGGGTAAATTTGGTATATTAACCTTCTCCTGTGTGCCTTAGCCAGCAAGGAGACATTATTTTCTACAAACAAGTCCTGTTTTATGTGGTGAAAAAATAAAATCTCATGAACAAACTCTTTGGTTTTAGTCAAAAAGAGAAATACTTTCTTACAGGCTTTTTAGTTTCTGTAAAGCTACCAACATTTAGAAAATATCAACATTTATTCAGTATAGCAGTTGAAATTCCTGAGGTATTATTTGCATTGCATATTATAAAGATTGCTACAAATAGTATGAGAAAATAATCTATTGCTGAATGGTAAATGATGGGTTTTTTTTCTTCTGTAGCTGTACTAAGCACAAGAACAATAATTTAAAAACCCAAAAAACACAAACCCAAATCTATTATCTGACTGACAGTGCCATCCATCTTCATAGCTAAATGCTGATGAGCATGGAAACACCTGTGAAACCTCATTTGGTGTAATGATAATCATAC